GGAGGGAGAGGGAAGGAGGGAGAGGGAGAGGGAGGAGGGAGAGAGAAAGAGAGAAGAATCTTTATAAAATGGAAGTGCTAATAAGTGAAACTAAAGATACATGTACATGTAGAACAGAGAATGTCAAGTTTGACTTGTTTACTTAATGATAGACATGTTTTCCTGTTTTTTTTTAGCATCAAAATATTGTCAATTTCTACGACTTTTGGCACGACAAAGTCAATTCGAAAGATCGTGTAAGTATTTCAATATTACTCTGCATCCTTATAATTAGAAATTCACGACACTGTAGCTTGTGTTCATTACGGAGTACATAACATCTGGATCTCTCGCTCAGTTCCTTAAGAAGAACAAAAGAGTGAAAGGGACCAACTCTATCAGCGATAAGGTGAGTTTTTAAGATGTACTACATGTAAAGTTAGTTTTAAAATTGAGTTTTTGTACATTATTATAAATGCGTGATTATTTATTTATTTATTTATTTATTTATTTGTTTATTTATTTGTTTGTTTATTTATTTATTTTTTAGATTTGGAGGAGATGGTGTAGACAGATATTATCAGCATTGAGGTAAACAAATTGTTTAAAAGATTATATGTTTACATGTACATGTATTTGTATTTATATTTATTAGTTACTTGCATAAAAATGAGATTATTCATGGCAATTTATCGCTTGCCTCAATCTTTATTCAACACAATGGGCTAGTCAAAATAGGATCCGGTAAGTGACACATGATTAATAATTAATACATCATGAATTAGAGTATTTCCATTGTGACACATACAATGTATGTCACTTTACATTAATATTTTTACATTAATTAAATAATAATTATTAAATAATACCATTATTTATAAAGACGAAGAAAAACAGCATTCATATGTTTGTATAATTAACATTTTGTACATTACAGTAATCTTTTTGTATTAATATCTTTATGTTTTATTTTTAGTGTCACCAAACGCTATACATCAGCACGTGAAAACAAAGAACAGAGAAGCAGCTGCTGGCCTTCATTATGCAGCACCTGAACTAGCAGGTGAGTCGTCTCATTATAATGATAATAATAATTTTTTTTAATTTCTTTTTTTTTTATCGGTAGAGGGTCCCATGAGGACGTCAGCCGACATCTACGCCTTTGGAATCTGTGCTCTAGAAGTAAGAAACTCTGTATACTCCAGTAAATCCCAGTAAACCCTTCCACAGATGTTGAACCTAGCTCTGCTTGGTAACGGTGAGACTGTTCAGCAGGGTCAGCTTCGCTCTGATGCTATACAGAAGGCACTGGATCAACTTAACCCACGGACTAAGCAGTTCATAGAATTGTGTATTGACCACGATTATGAGAAAAGACCACAAGCACACTCACTTATAAAGCACCTGGTCCTACAGGAGGTGAGGGAGGGGGAGAGAGAGGGAGGGAGGGAGGGAGGGAGAGAGAGGGAGGGAGAGGGAGGGAGAGAGAGGGAGGGAGGGAGAGGGAGGGAGGGAGAGAGAGGGAGGGAGAGAGAGGGAGAGAGAGGGAGGGAGGGAGGAGAAATGACAATTTTAATTTTTGTTTTTAAAGGTTTTTACTTTGAAGCTCTTGTCAGCCTATGCCTTGAGAGGAGTCAAGAACCTTCAAGGTATTATTAATTAATTCCTAATACAGTACATATTAAAATCGTCTTGTATGACACTTATTCTATTTTTAATGTACAATGTAACTAATCTTCCTTAATTGATTCTCTCTTCAGATATCATTGATTCTTATCGTAAATCGTCCGACACTGTCCTAGCAACCGTCAATGCTAAAAGAATTCAAAAGACCTTCACGTACGAATTAATCAGATATTATTCCAATTAATGCCCCACAATTAGTAATGTATGTTATTCTAATTAATACCCCACAAATAATTAATGTTATTGTAATTTAAATAGTTAATTCTATTCTAATTAGTGCCCCACAAATATTATAATTAAAGTCTCACAAGTAATTATTTTTCTAATTAATGCCCACAGTGCCGCTGACACTGCTCAAATAGATATTGAGAAGTTTTTCGATGACATCAGTCAGGACTTGCTGTTTGAAGCGGAACAGATAGCGGAGAATAGTCCCCAAGAGAAAGACGAACCACGAAGGGCTGGGTAGGTGTGGCTAGGGGTGTGACTTGTACTAATACTAATATATATTTGTATCGTGTTTAGAATATTGACAGAGTCCAATTCAACAGCTACTGACAGGACCTCAACAAATCATGAACTAGAGACAAGAAGGGTAAGTATAATGTGTATTCATTATCTGAGTGATGTCCAGTAATATTTATATTATGTTGAAATGAGGCAACATTTAATGTACATCATGTACGAATGTAACTTTATGAT